AATGTAAACAGGAGACATGCACAAAATATTTTGTGGAAATTCAGGAAAGCTGAGAAATTTAACAAATAATCTGTTTGATTCCTGGCTGCCCATGAGAAGAGAACCAGGAATGCAACAGAGCTTCCTACTCTCAGACTGGGGAGTCCTCTCCCTGGGACCCAAGTAGTTTGAATCCTCTTGAAATCCTTCCTCGCTTTTCCCAGGGAGTGTAAAATTGCATCTTTTACAAATTCAAATATACTGCATTGGCCCTGCATTGATTGGCATATGTGCATTGGCAACTATGACCCAAACCCTGTAAACAGCTTAGCCTCCTTGCCATTTTCTTGCCCTCTATCAATCTTTTTATTTGAATCCAGCCTTTATCTCAGGTGGGGAGTCAAGACAGCATTTCAAAAAAATTCAAACAATTCAGTAAAACACATATAGTAAAAAAACATTAAACATTAAGATTTAAACACTATTGAATACAAGCAGAATTAAAAGAAAATAAGATGAAAAGTAGTACAGCACTATAAAAGTAAAAGGAAAACAAAGAAGGAGCTGCATTAACATCCCTAGAGAGGGAGTTCAAAGTGTGGAGCAGCCACAGAGAAAGTCTTCGCCCAAATTCCCTCCCGCTCTGTCCTTGAAGGCAGTGGGATAGATGTAAGATCTTAAAGCTTAAGCAAGCCCATGTAGGCCTTTCAAATTGGCTGGGCCCGAGCAAAATAGGGTTTTTATAGTTCAAAACCAGAGCTCTTGAATCTGGAAAGAGAAGGTGCATCCCATCAACACTGTAGCATTATGCAGTATGACACCACTTTAACAGTAACATCTCAATGCTAGAAAATCCCGGGAGTTGTTGTTTTCCAAGGTCTTTATCCTTTGGTTCACCTACACTGTGAAATTAATGCAGTTTGACACAACTTTAACTGACATGTCTCAACACTATGGAATTCTGGTAGCTGCGCTCCTTAGTAGGGAATGCAGAAAACTTTGTAAAACTTCAACTCCTGTGATTCCATAGCAATGAGCTATGGCAGTTAAGGTGGTACCAAACTGGCATAGTAGTTTTAAGCATGCAAATTTATTTATTTATTTACTCCATTTGCATTTATTTATTTATTTATTTCCATTTATTTATTTATTTACTCCATTTTCTACCCCGAAGGGGACTCAAGGCAGATTTATCCCTCTATCTAGTTCCTGGCGTAGATGGGTATTTAACACAGTGCTAAGTATTTAGCATTCTGCTGAAGGAGGTATGCTGCAGCTTCCATTATGGTTCCCCAGTCACCCCCAACATTGTCACCCCCAACAGCATCTTCTACATCCTGAGGTATCTAGCTACCTCATTCTGGTTAATGGTAGGACAGGCCCAAGAAATGAGATTATCAGTAAAACACTTGCAATGAGAAGATATGGGGACAGTGAAAGACAATGTTTGGTTCACTAATGAGGCTTTTAAGTTATCTTTTTAGATGGAAATGAATACCGTCAAAACCACAAGAAAAGCATCTTTATCCATTATCCTAATGTGTTTTTCAGAAATTTTTCGCTATTAGAAAATGTTTTTGAAGATAAAGTTCAAGAAAGACATTAAACCAAGTAGACACTTCTCCTTCTTCATGGGCTGCTGTTCATTACTCTCGTGAAATGTGTGGGTTTGGGAGGGTGGAATTAATCTCCTTTTGGTGCTTCAGGGAGCAGCCAGACTGAATAAATGAAAAACCCATGACTTCTTTTTTCTTCCATTCTCCTTGATTCTTTAACCATTCAAGTTCAAATTGGATGAAGAGTAGAATCATCTCTTCGAGTTAAGTAGGGATAGTTTCGTTTTGGATGCACCAGATGAAGGGTTCCCAGTAATATTAAGGGAAAAAAAGACATTGTACACTTGTCCCATCCTTTCCTTCGGAAAAGGTGTTTTGTGGAGATAGAGAAGGACAGAAGAAATAGTCAGAGAATACAGGAGGATTACAAATGGGGACACAGTGATGCATCTGCTCATCCCTTCCTCATGCTGATACAATTCCCTCTGTGTGAACTATTTCATCTGGATAGTCCCTTTGTGGCCTGTCATTTGCATTCAGAGAACTGGAAACGTACGTTGGAGTGACTTCCTCTAGAGAAGAAATGGGACGCTCTCTGAAGACACTACTGTCTCTGCTCAGTATACTTTGCAACTTCTTTAGCACAGCAAGGGCAAACTGTGAGTATATACATACAACCATATATGGCACAGAATGATTTGTTAGTCTGTTTTCACACGAAGTCCAGGAAAACGATTGTACTACTACTTTGTTGTAACACAGTGCACTACTACATTGAATGGTATCATATCTTAAACAATGTCTCAATTAGTTTATTGAAGGGTAACATTTATATCCCACCCCTCTCCTCGGAATTGCTCCCAATGTTTTTATTCCACAACAACTCATCAAGTAAATTGGACTGAAAGGTTGTGGCCAGGCATGTAGCCGGGGGGGGGGGGGGGGGTTGAAGCCCCCCCCCCCAAAAAAAATTCTCATGGTGGTTCGCGAAAAGGCTTACTGGTGCATTATTTAAACTGTTATGTTTATTCATATCATGATATGATCACCATAATCAATATATCCCATATGCATGAAGGTATTGGGGAATGATACAAAAGGTTTGCTAGGGTAGACCCTCTTTCACTCAGACTCAGCCCCCCCAAAACTCAGCTCCCCCCAAAACAAAATCCTGGCTATGGGCCTGGTTGTGGCCAGCCCAAAATCACACCTGGAGCTTCATGGCTGAGTCGGGGTTTCTTTATACAGTATGGACTGACTTTTACGTTGTCTCAGCTCGCCATGATGATGATGATGATGATGATGATGATGATGATGATGAATTATGTCAGTACTGGTTGAAGACTTTCCCACCCTGAGTGCTGGCCCTTATCCTGGGTGCAAGTACTTATTCTAGAGCAGGGGTGTCAAACTCATTTTAATCAGTCTTAAGCTTGCCATAGATGCAGGTGAAACGTCAGGAGAGAATGCCTGTAGACCATGGCCATACAGCCCGAAAAAACCTACAACAACCCAGTCTTATGCTTGCTTTCAAAGGGCCATGGATACAGAGACCAACTATAACCTTTTCACATGGCGGTCGGTGTTCTTTCATTTTTCTCGAGTTTGGGCCCCAGATGTTGTTGAATGGCAACTTCCATCACTTTGTTTATCTACCATGCGGACTGCGGATAATGGGAATCGGAACGCAATAGCACTTCCGGCTTTGTGCTTTGGGAAAAGTTAAATAACATTTTAAAGGCAGACATCATATCCACAAACATGTATCTAAATTCAAATCCCAGAATCCTGACCCAACAGAACAAGTTGCAGTCTTCCAGATGTTACTGTATCACAGCTCCCATCAGCTCTAATCATGATGTTTAATGATGAGGAATACAGGAGATAGTCCAGCATCTGGAGGACCACATAAAATGGCATAATGGGCCAGATTCAGTCCGTAGGCCTTCAGTTTGACACATGTGTTCTAGAGTAAATCCCTAGGTATGAAGATCCTGACAATGGCTAGAATCTTCTTGAAGCACCCAGTTGTTCTGACAAGCAGCCATGTCCTTCTTGGACCTACAGCATCCTAGACCTGACAGGATCCTTAAGCAGAGCTTTATGCCACATAATCAACTCACATATCTTAGTTGGCTTCTCTAAATTAATGCGGATGTTTTATGTTAGATATAATTTTTGATAGGTTACATTTAATTTAATTTATAGATGTCATGTTATAAATTGTTTTCAAATATGGAGTTATTTGGGGTTATTATGTTTGTATTTATTGTTGTACTGAGGCATTGAATATTTGCCTTTTTTATTTGTTGGAATCTGCCCTTGGGGAGATAGGATGGAATATAAAGATATTATTATTTTACTGACACACACAAAAACAGTATGACACAGCAAATGAGATATATATGCTGGATTTCATACCACAAAATCACAAGTCAAACACTTCCCAAGCATTTAGAACTGTGTGGTGTACCTTCGAATGATGCACGCAGATCCAGGTAAGGTGGCCTTTTGCAGTTGACAGATCGTGATTTTGTCAATGTTTATTGTTTTCAAATGCCAGTTGAAATCTTTTGGCACGGCACCCAGTGTGCCAATTACCACTGGGACCACCTGTACTGGTTCATGCCAGAGCCTTTGCATTCTTACTATTATTATTATTATTATTATTATTATTATTATTCCAATATCAAAGAGGATCCCAGCCTGTGCACTTAACAAAGATACAGTGTGCAGTTCCTACACAATATAAGAGCAGAATATCCTCTTTTATTGTTGCAGCTGAAATTTGCTAGATTTTTCAACATGCACAGGTGCATCAAGTCTGGTAAATGACTTAAGTGCAGGTTGAATATCTCTCATCCAAAATGCTTGGGAATTGAAGTGTTTGGGATTTTGGAATCGCTATGTTTGCATATACATCCATCTTGGAGATGGAAGCCAACTCTAATGATGAAGCTAATTTCTGTTTCATATGAACCATATATACAATATTTCTGTGCATGAAACAAATGTTGTGGACACTGAACCATCCAAAAGCAAAGATGACAATATCTCAGCCTCCCAAGTGGATAATTTTGGAGAGTTTCAGGTTATGGAAATCCAGATAAGAGACACACAACCTGTACTACCTGAAAACCTAAGGTGCATCTCCATTGCACAATGATAGCAGCTTGATGTCATAAACCATCATGGTCATTTTATGGCTGGATGGGAACTGTGTGATATTCATATTCCCCTGAACTACAGCAGTAGATGATTCTGGCAGAGAATTCTCTCACAAAACCACCAATACTAGGATTCCATAGGATAGCACCATGGCAGCTAATGTGGTATCAAACTGCTGCAATTGAGTACCATGCAGCTGATCTTAGTCTATACTGCGAGGTAAAAAAGTTCTCTTGAATGCTGTAAATTAATTTGCACCACTGATTTTTTTTCATTTTGATGTTACTTCTTCTTTCAGATTCATCAGATGAACTTATTCATCCTAGTGCTCCTTGGTACCTTTTTTCTGTTCCAGTCAACCCCCCAGATGGACCAGAATTGAAAACCCCCAATCAGAAAAACACGTTATTACCGGAAGAGTTGCAAATGTACTTGAATGGTCCATGGCTGACTCGTTTGGTCCCTTCAGTCCATATTGTTGTGTTTATATTGGGTTTTCCATTAAACATCATGGCGGTTTTTATGTTTCTATTCAAAACAAAGTTGAAGAAGCCAGCTTTCATATTCATGTTTAACCTTGCCTCTTCAGACCTTTTTCTTGTGGCCGTACTGCCATTTAAAATATCCTATAATTTTTGGGGGCACAACTGGGCATTTGGGCTTCACATGTGTCGTTTTGCCACAGGCACCTTCTTCAGCAACATCTATTGCTCTGTAATGCTGATGACAGCAATAAGCATAGATCGTTTCTTGGCTGTGGTATATCCCATGCAGTCTTTGTCATGGCGAACACCACGACGTGCCACCCTGGCATGTGGTGTAATCTGGCTTGCATCCTTCTCTGGAGTGATACCTCTCATGCTGATTGCACAAACAGAGAAGGTAATCCAGTTAAATATTACAACCTGCCTTGATTCGCTAGATGCTTACAAGATTGTACACTTGCGTTATTATGCTTTTTCATTATCAGTCCTGTTCTTCTTTCTACCACTATTCATCTCGACTGTCTGTTATGTGTGTATTATAAAGAAGATGCATTCTCCTGATGTTGCTGCAAGGCCAGGTAAGAAGAGGCGCACCATCCTCTTGTCAGCAGCAGTCTTGTGCTCTTTTGTTATTTGTTTTGGTCCAATGAACATCTTGTTGCTGAGCCCATTCATTTTTCCAGATCCAGATTATGGAGGTCTCTTTTTTGCCTTCATGATCTCCCTCTGTATTGGTAACATCAACTGTTGCATTGATCCCTTGATATATTATTATGCTTCCTCAAAATGTCAAAAGCAAGTGTGGAGGTTTCTGCATATTAAAAAGAATTCCAGTTTCAGAAAAGATACACAGGAAAAAGCAAACAGTAATACAACCACCATTTCCAGTGATTTGAATATTTTGCCTCAAACATAGTATCTGAGAGTCTTGTGCATTTGGATGGAATCACTATCCGTTTTGTTTTATTACAGTTGTTTCACCCTGTTTTTGTTGTTGCTTCCAAAAATGGGGCACCTATCCGAATGGGAATTTTGTCTTGCATCCAAAAGAACAAAAAATTTCAGACCATTGGTGGCAATGGGAGGGCTTCCTAGTCATGCCTCCCCTCAGATTTAGGGCTAAAGGGGTAAAAATCACCACACATGGGGGGCATATCTGACATCTTAACCTATACGGTCACTGGTGAACATGGGCTTTCATACAAAGTGACCTTGTAGCATCTGCAAGACAAAAAGAGAAAAAATAAATTGGTAGGATAAACTTTCGTAGACTAATGGACTATAAATTATAGCAGTTTGATATCACTTTAACTGGCATAGCTCTATCCTATGGAATCCTGGGATAGTTTTTTCTTTATTGTGTTACCAGACCTCTCCTACAGAGGAGAGTAAATATGCTACAAAATTAAACATTTCAGAATTCCATAGCATTAAGCCACAGTAATTAATGTGGTGTCAAACTGATATAATTCTGAAGTGTAGGTGGTCTATGAGTGTTCAAATACTGCATGCTTATTCGCAGTCCAAAGGCTTCAAATAATGACTTATTTGAAATTGAATGTTAAACCAGTCTGCTCTGACAAGGATGTATAGACACAGCAAAGATGTCATGACCTATGTGATTTCTTTTGAACACAAAGCATTTTCCAATTATTATTTTCTATTTTCTGAATCTGCAAGTAGCATGAATACTTTCATTGTTTAAAGTTGTTATTGTTGCTTTGTATCTTATAGCATAAGTTTCCAACTTATGGCAACCTTATCATTAGCTTTTCTGGGGCTGAAGCTATATATTGTTTTCTATTTTTAAAAAAGAATGTATATTACATGCTACCTTTGGAAGTCTTCCCTTAAAACAATTTTCCTACTTTGCAGTCTATTCATATTCTATAATATAGTGATGGAGATGAGCTCAAGAAATAATTTCATTAAGCTCACATTACAAATAGCATGCAATTACGTTATGCAGACAGAACAAAAGAGTGCTGTAATGTGATGTGTGTGCCACTTTCCAAAGCTTTATAAAGAGATTAGTATTACAAATTAAAGTGACAGATTGAATAGCTAGGGAGTGACTTGTAATTTGGATTGATGATGTCATCATGTTTGAGCTACAGTTTCTGAAGTTTACTGTACTCACACATGACACGTTGCAAACTTTCATAGACAAGTCATACTGCTCCCTATTCCGGAAGAACACTGATCTAAGACAGCTCTTGTTTTGTGCCTTCAATTCAATCCCCAAAAGTATGAATTAAAAGATGCAGCTCCATTGGGGCATACAGTATGCCTGCATTGCCTTTCTGTTTTGCTCTGTAATAATGAATTATTGTTCCAGAGCAAAATGCCTTTGGAATAACACTATGTATCAAAATTTTACAAAATTTCTGTTCCTGGTTTGAAAGTGTTATTTCCTGTTTAATTGTGTGGTACTTACTTTGAAAGTAGTTATTCTCCAGAAACTTGTTTTTGTGGCTGCCAGAAACTTTGTTGCTTGACACTCGATGAGATAGTCATTGAAAAACTATAACAAAATGTGCTGCAGGATGTCCTGTAAAAACAAAGTTTTAGCAGTTTAATAAACGTTTTCAATGTCCAACCAATTGTTGTTGTTGTTCATTCGTTCAGTCGTTTCCGACTCTTCATGACCTCATGAACCAGCCCACACCAGAGCTCCCTGTCGGCCATCACCTCCCCCAGGTGCTTCAGAGTCAAGCCAGTCACTTCAAGGATGCCATCCACCCATCTTGCCCTTGGTCCAACCAATTAGGTCCAACCAATTAGGAAATGGCATTTATAACCCAGGAACAAAAATTGTGTTACATAGTGATAATGCCTCACTCCGCCTTGAACTTCAGGAAATTATTCCCAAAATCACCATAATCCTTTCACAAGGAACTGGGAGAGTCAGGGGAATGCACAGTGGACTTGCATAAGAGTCCCTGGGTCCTTTTTCCTGTTTTACCTGATATGATCTGATTTTATCCTGGGAACATTTCCTCACCTATAGTGTTGTGCCAGACACCCTTCTGTGAGGTCTCCACTGTATGCCAACATCCTGAACAACCTGTCTGGTACTCATTGTATTGACTGAAACAGAGATATCAAAATCCATTTCACCCTTCTCCTGGGTGGATAAATAAATAGATACATGCTTTCAAATATACTAGTGGCAAGTTTATTTCCAAATCTGGAGACCAATCAGCACCAACAACAGACAACAACAACTTCCCAGCCAACCAGCCTGCAGATCCTAGCCTGCCACAATCTAGACCAATTGACAGGGCAATAGAAGTCCCTTGGAAGCTTGGCACCCCAGGCCCCAAACCCACAATTTTATCAGAGCTAAATCACATTATGTTCCATAGTCTACAAGTAATAGGGCCAGCTGGATTTTTAAAAGGCAGGAGTTGACAAACAATTCAGAAAACCATGTTTCAGTGAAGTGAGTACACTGTGTGGTTATGTGGGATAGGACCTTCTCAGCTGTAGTACCCTAGTTGTGGGATGACCACCCTTTAGAAACCCAAATGGTGTCTTTGGATTCCAACCATGTTGAACTTTCACCCTTCTAATTTTGCCTACTCAAAACACTCATGGCCATTTTGCAATGGTTTTGGTCCAGAAGAAGTTATTCAGGAAGTGAAATAGAAGTCAAGAAGTCCTGTTTCAGATTTTCCCCACTGGATATTTTCTCAGAAAAAAAAAAGTAATTATGTGCATTGTCTATTTCCTGCCAGTGCTGAGGTAAATGTAGTCCTTATCATGGTGTACACTAAGCTGTGCCTTTATCATGTGAGTTAGCATCTGGCACGTAGCCCTCACTGGAATGATACCACTGTTTATCACTGAACAAACAAATGGTGTATCTAAGTTAAACATGGCAAACCTGTCCCTGTGTGGTTGTTTCAATATTTTTTCTGCCTTATTTGTTCATTTCTCTTTTTCATATTAGTTTATTTATTTAGCCTCTTACATAGCATTATAAGCTACTTTTCTTCATCTAACACTGCTGCAGACGTACATGAGGAGAAACAGATATCCCTTTGCTTGCATCCATCTGGTCCTCCTCCGCTATTTGTTTTGGTGCAATGTATAGCCTATGATTATTCCAAAGCATATGTTTTCTACCTGATCAGCTCCTCTTGTTGGTGGGGAGAATCGAAACCATCTTTTAAAACCCTAACATTTCAAATCCTTGTCTCTTGAACTATCGGTATACCATCTGAAAATGTCAATAAGACAGGTCTGAAAGCTCTTTTTTCAGAAACTGAATGGATCACTCTCCAAAAGGATGCTGGCCACAGTCTGTACCTTGTTCTCTTTTCTGAGTTCCAGAGCAGCATGAATAGTTGCATTCATCGGTATTCTGGCATCATGTCTTCTGATGTAAGGGGATTTCCAGTTTTTTTATCTCCATTAGGTGCTTTAACCAATACTTCTACAAAGCCTTGCAAATGAGGATTTTGGATCTGTTTGACAAAAGAACATCGTGACTACAAAATCAGAAGGACATAAACAATGCAGGGGAAATGTCAAGGGATCTATGCAGTCATAAAATTCCTGTCCTTGCAATAGTGACACTGTTAGTTCCAGTTAAGGAACCAGGTATCAAAAAACACAGTTGTATTTTCTACTCAAACAACAAAACACACAGAGACTTTTGTTCTTTACCAAATAAGCAGGGAGGCTTTTCTTTCTCCTTTGTTGCAGCAGTATACAAAGTATACAAAACATATATAAACTTTACAGCTTCTTCTTCCTCACTACTCACAGCAGTAATTCTCCAAACCCCCAGGTCTCCCAGCAACCCTCATAATTGCTCAGTATAACTACAACCTATATACTACTCACATTGCATTAACCTCCATACCGTAATAATAATGGCTTAACTTTTTTACAGATGGTTAGGCCAGAGGTATTAACTCTGCTATCACTTAGAAAATGTCAGATAATTTCCAAATCCCGACAGCAAACACATCTTTTCAAAGCAGTTCCTCAGATCCTCAAATTATGGAGATTATAATCCAAAAACATAATTTTCCAAACCATAGAAATAATATTTATTTATTTATTTATTTATGAAATTTGTACCCCACCTTTCCCCAGTCAAGAGCGCAAGGCATTTTTTTTAAAAAAACGAACAAGTTAAAGCCATATATTAGCAAATTCTGTGAAACTAATTAAAACCCCAATAAAATACACTTAAAAACCACCCTGGTAGTATGTAACAAAGTCGAAGAGCATTCCTAAACATTGGATATTGATAGTTTTCTCCAAAAACTTCATTGAAAAGGAAGGTTTTTAGGCTCCTTGAAAGACTTCTTTGAAAATAGAATTGGTAATAGCATGTACTCTCAGGTGTATTGATACCTGTCAAGAGTGTACAAATTCAGGTGTGCTGTATTAAAGTTTCCAATCTGCAGAAGTAGTTCCAAGTTGAATTTAGATCTCATGAATGTTCTGCTCTGTTTAGTTGACCATACAATGCATTGAATATCTACAGATAAAATTATCTACTAAGGTACGTCTTAATTCTACTCCCTTTTGCCTTCTAAGCCTGTCCTTCTAGTCTAAATGGGATTTGTCCATAGAAACATAGATATCCCACGAGCTTTTCTAATCTTCCTGACTCTTCTCGCATATAGTTGTCTCAAATGCACAGCCATAGAGATGAACTCAGGAAATAATGTCAGCCCAAGCAAAAATTTCAGCATGCTATTCCTCTGTAGTGTTCAGATGGGCACAAGCTGATAGCAGCAGAAGTCCTAAAGCTTGAAAAGTTGTTGTTTTTCAAAATAATGGTTGTGTTGCTTATTACTTTTCACTATTTTTCTTTGCTTGATAAGAATGTGTAAAACATGAAAAAAAATCCTCTGAAAATACCCCATATGTGAAGCTTTGAAAAGGAACTAGAAACAATTACTTGTTGCACCAATAAAATAACTACATCCTTGCACTTTGCATTACTTTCAAATGTAATTTTGTTATGCCTTTGTTACTGTCTCTGTGTGTACAAGATAGACGTGACTCACTATAGGTGCTTTACATGACAGGTAATTCCCGAGTTACAAACATCCAACTCATA